TCTAAACGAGCCGGAGTGGGTCTAAGTGACCTGCTAGTCATCCCAGATGGTCCCCTTGCGGTGGGCTCCAGTTGTGGGTGAGGAAAATAGACTCTGTGTGAATCAGAAGTCTAACAAGGGTGCGAGGCTTATACTCGTCCCGAGGGGATTGCTACTGGGTAGCGAGTCCTCAAATAAGTGCAAGGAAACAAAGACTAGACTCTGTCTAGCGACCCGAAGGGTTCCGGTCCTTACTAGGACTGGGAACACAAAGATGCAGAGGGTCCCCGACAAGCGGAACTCAGCACACGACGAGCGGAACTAACGCACAATGAGCGGAACTACGGGGAACTAACGGAACTAACGCGGAGCAAAAAGGACAAATGGGGAACAAACAGAACTAATGGGGAACAAATGGAGGGAAAAGGAACTACGAGCCTGCAGGAGGATGATTGGGCAAAGTCGGACCAGGCTTGTGTCTGGTACTTGCTCCAAGTCATCGGATCCGATGTCGGGCATTTCAAGCGGAACTCATGGGGGCGGGAATGATGCAATGTGATCAAGAATAGATTCGGGAAGATATTTTAAACAGTGAGTGGAGTACTGGGAAGTACTCTGTAAGTGGAAGTGGAGTTGAGTCTATCAGAAGGTAAAAAACTAAGATCCCATCTATTGCTACCTATATAGGAAGGGGTTCTGAAGTGTGATATGCTACAACCGGGTGAGGCTGTGAGATAAGGAATCGGTCCCGAGTAGCGGAAGGATCCGTATAAGTACTGTAACACATGGGAAATGAGATAGGAACATGTTAGTGACACGGGGAACATAGCTAGTACTCACCAGCGAGGATGGAAGGACATGGACAGGACAGAGGAGGATGTTCCGAAGGCTGAAGGAATATAATGCGTGTGGTACGCGATTTTTCCGCTGGGTTCTGCTGGGTTCTGCTTGGTTCCGTGTAGCGGACAGGTCAGGGAAGATGCGGATGGGTAGTGGGATGGTAGCGGAACGTGCGGGAAAATGGTGGGAAGGCATGAGAAATATGTGGGATATGGGCCTACAGTGGGGACGTTCCCCACAGCGTGGCTACCTCGTAATTGGTATGATGACCAGTGGTACAAAGTTAATTCAAGCAGTGCTAGGGCACTTCTTGACGTTCACAAGGACTTTGAAGTTCTGCGCTTGGTTCGTAATTGCAATTTTTTGAACCACAAGTGTTTGCTCATTATTGACAGGATATTTATCATTCTGTGAACGACATCTGTTGATGAAAACCATGTGTTTGCACTGCGGGGAGTCAGACGGTGGACACATTTTATCTGGTCGCAGATGTGCATGGCTGCACATTCCACTCTGCTTCTCCCTTGTTTTCTATTCTGCATTCTTCTCATATGCATCCTGTCTCTGGTGTGATTTCTGTGCTTCAAATATAGTTTAGCGACTGTCTTTCTCCTCATTCCCAGTTGTACTCTTCGTTACATATGTATGTTACAGTAGCTTACAGCTGTTATCGCAATGATGAGAAAGTACCCGGATTGTACAGCTTAACCACTTCGGGTATCTCCAGTGAAATCCACTTCTCCCACTCACTACCTAAGTTTCGAATTCACCTTACTTCGAAGCTTTATTTTCCATCAATGTTACAGTCTGTAGTTTGAAGTCGATGTAGAGTGATATTTAGACTCAAGCTAAAGTATGATGTTGTATCTATCTGTTTTTACTTCAAAAGAACAGAAGGTCGATTCCTTATTCCTTGAAGCGTCCTGACTGGACGTGCAAGGGGTCAACCGATTATCAAAAGCAGGTCAGTTCCCGCCAGCCACACTGTAAACTGATCCATGGACTCACACACAGCATTATTTCTATTTGCCACATGGATGGGACATTGTTAGAGTCCTAGTACCGGGTACGTCGTTTGTTTGCTAATTGTCCACTCGCTGCTGATTGACTTGAGGTGACTGTGGGAACGCCCGCACCAAAATGGGATTCACTACAAATAGGTCCCTTCACATCGAATTACTTTTCTTTCTACTTTCCTCTCCAGCACAACCAATCTAATATTCACCATGCTACATATTGCTAGATGTCTAAATGGCCAGCAACCTCTGAAATCGCTCCAAAAGCGTCTTTCAAGCGCGTCAAACAAACCGATGTCATCTTGAAGATGGTGAAGATGTTCGTCTCTACCGAGGCAGAAGTTGACAAATGGTCAGGAGAGGAAATAGACTATTCTGAAGAAGGTGAGCTGTTGGATCTTGTCTATGTCTACATCTGTTGAAATTTGCCTTTACAGATGACGAAGCCTTCGTAGTCCCTGACGAGGCTTGTGACAAGGCTTGTGACAATGATCGGGCTTCTGGCAATCATCGAGCATCAGTGTCGGACCCTCTGAAAGATGTGACGGCATGGCGCATTCTGAAGGAATTCCTCGATACTGATATGGGCTTCGGTCAAATGCAGGCGAGACTTCTGGCGCACCTGGGTTCGCAATATCGTGAAGAGGACTGGGCGGAGGCGAAGAGTTTATTGTTCTCGGGTGAGACCAACAACGACCTGTCCTGGTCTAATGTTTGCAAGGTAATCGAATGCCATATGGTGTTACCAGTGGAATTTGGAGGGCCCTCGAGTAGGTTGAACCTCCAGCCTGGATGGGCTTGGCCAGATATGGTGGATAGCCTCTATGACAGGTTCAACGACACCAGGTCGTCACGAGTCCACGCACCGACATCATTATCATCAGCTTCATCACCATAAGTTCCTTCATCCAGCGAGTTTGCACGTCGCATTATCATGTGATTTATTTGTGGTGAAGTTGGCTCTTTCCATGCCTATGACCTTCTGGAGGTGGAATTCTCAGATGATCCAATGTCGTCGGCTCACTGGGAGTCCGTGCTGGACGCTATCAGGGAGGCCAACACCCCTGAGGATAAACTTCAGGTCTTTACCAGGCTGACATCGACACCATCAGCAGCCTCCAATAAGCCTCCTCGAAAAGTTGGAGTCATCGAAGAGCCGACATCGATTACGCAAGATGTCGAGACAATGCCAGCGCCTGACCTCCCGATGTGGCTTGTCACAGTACCCCGTGAGTCAATATCTCCGATAAATATGTTGTGTCTCACTGCGATTACCAGTTTCGAAAGCGTCTTTCTTAGCCACACAATTGAAAAACAAGGGTTTTGAGGTCTACACACATTCCACCCTTCCAGGCCGTCTGTGTGTGAAGGCTGAGGACACCTATGTCATCAGGGAGGCTTGGCCCTCATCCCACGTCAACTGCTTTTTTGATGTTATCTTTCTCCCTCCGGAAGATCAGTCCTCCGTCGAACACCGCATGACGATCCCTGGCTGGTATCGCCCTATACGTGGGCCATATCGGTTTGACGTGGGCCTCGCACACTCATATAACAGGCAAGCTGATACTCTCAGAGTGTTATTTCCGTCCAGGGCACACCCAGAATGGGGTATCTGGAAGGACCTCCACGTGCCGCGCCTTCACAATCCTCCCGATGGTGTCTCAACCTCTGGGGGTCGAGGGGAGACCTACATCCACGGCCTTCTGGTGCTCGACCTGCGTAGAACCGCAGTTGTTGAGGTCCCAATTCCCGTCCCAGAGAGCATTAGACTCCATAAGGAGTCCACATATTGCAGTAACATATCTCCATATTATACGAGTGAACGGACGTGCATAATATCCCGTATGATATGGGCCAGCGGACCATGGGCCAAAGGTAGATATATCCTCGACTATGACGGATGTGCCGGGAGTGTTATTATTCCCGATGGAGACGGGTGGGCCCATGTAGGGAATATGTAGAGTAGATGAGTGGGCCGATAGACATGAATATTCAATAGATGGATGGGCCGAGGTAGTTGGATATTATGTAGATGGGTTTACCAAGGTAGATGTGTATCAAATAGCCGGGTATGTCAAGGGTGCTTGTTATCACATAGACGGGTGGGCCCAGATATATATCATATTAGACGGGTGGGCCGACGAATTAAGATTATTTTGTAGACAGGTGGGCTGACATATTGGTATTATTTTGTAGACGGGTGGGCCAAGGGAGTGGTGAAATATTTATTATATATACGGGTGGGCTGAGGGAGCAGTAAAATATTTATTATATATATGGGTGGGCCGAAGGTCGTCGTATATTGCATAGACGGGTAGGCTGACGTGGGGGTATATAATATAGACGGGTGGGCCGAGAGAGCAATTTATTAGATATTATATAGATGGGTGGGCCGAGGTAGTTGGATATCACATATATGGGTGGGCCCAGATACATATCATATAGACATATGGGCCGAGGTGGTAGTATATTATATAGACGTATGGGCCAAGGTAGTAGTATATTATATAGACGGGTGGGCTGAGATGGTTGATATCATATCCACGGGCCGGGTAACATCTATCGAGTTCCAGGTAACGTCTATCGAGTTCTGGGTAACGTCTATTGATGTCCAGGTAACTAATATCGAGTTCCAGGTAACTAATATCGACTTCCAGGTATTTCATAAATTGAACAACTCACGAAGTACCGAGTACCAAGTTCCGGTGTGGGTACAACAAGTGCAGCAGAGAGAAGTCAATCTACTACACAGTTGGGTC